TTTTTTTTTTTTTTGTAACTTCTAAATTAGCTTTCCATATATATTAAGCTTCCTTCTGTGAGCCTCTTCCTCAACCAAGTTTCCCTATAGGTCCCTTCTCTAATCTTCTATCCTTCTTGTATATATCTCTAGAACAATATTGAACAGTCAATAGAAATTAGAAGGTCTCTGACCACTTCAAAGGACTGTCTCCTGTCCGTTGTCTCGTCCTCCCGTCCTCCTTCCAATGTCCCTTTCTTTAATTTAATCCTCTTTGCTTTTCCGTTTTCCTTGTATTATTTATCTTGTCCCTGTCATCTTGTCCTCCCGTCCTCCTTCCAACGCCTCTTTCTTTATTTAATTCCTCCTTGCCTCTCCATTTACTTTCACTCCACGGCCCCTTTCGCTTTCTTCTGTCTTTTTCCCTCTGTCGTCCCGTCCTCTCGTCCTCCTTCCGACGTTCCTTTCTTTATTCCTCTAAATGTTTTAAGTTGTTTAAGATTACTTTAAATATTATTCTTCCACCTCTACCTAGTCCTATATTCAACTTTTTGATTGCACTTCCTCTCTGGTCCGATTTCGCCCAGCACTCTCACTCTCTGCTTTCTCTTCAACTCTTCTTTGTATTGTTTTTTTAACCATTGGCATTTTTCTGTCTGTCTTTATCCTCCTATACCTCCTGTCCCTTTTCTTTTTCTTTTTCCCATTTCTGGTGACTTTATTTATTGTTGAAAATTAAATAGTCTTCTTTATTTTGTTACTTTTTTATTAATATTATTTTTATGTTAGTTTCTTTCACTCCTCGTTTCGGTCTCCTTTAATCTCTTCCAGCCCGGTCTTAGATGTTACTTTCAACACGGGCTGCTCTTAACATTTGTAATTAAGTTATGGTCTTCCCATAATTTGTTGCAAAGCTCTTTGTTAATATCTTAGTCACAAGAGCTTGTTTCCTTTGAAAGAAATTGCAGTACTTACTGTCTCTAGTGTTCAAAACACAGTTCTTTTCTAAAAGGAAGCTAAAAATAATGGCAGGCAGGGCTCAGTGCCCAGAAGGGCAGCCATACTGGGGCTGGCTGCTCTAGGATCTTGTCCTCCCCTGCTCAAAATCCATCATTGGACATCAAGAGGGTTCCAGACAAAGATCTCCTTCGAGTCCCTAATTGTCTGCACCTCTCCCAGGGTGCAGATGGAAAGGGATCTTTCAGTCTCTTCTTTCCCGATGTGGCAGTCCTGCGGAGAGCCCTTCACGCAGGACCTGTCGCCCTGCCATCGCTGCTGGAAGTCCATTTTATTTATTATTATTTAAAGGGCAATTTAAGATCTTGTTTCATTGAATTAGTTTTAATTTTTATTTTAATTTTATTTATTATTATTTATTATTATTTATTATTATTATTTAAAGGGCAGTTTAAGATCTTGTTTAATTGAATTATTATTATTTTAATTTTTATTACTACTTATTATTATTTACAGTTCCCATGACTCCCTAGCACTGAGCCAGGGCAGTGCCTCAATTTAATGTGCACTATTTCTGGCAATCTGCAAAAGCCCTAAGTCTCTGGGGCTCCTGGTGCAGGGATGTAAGGTTTCAGGGATCCCAGACATCAGAGTGTTGCTTGATTCTAGATCCAACACTTCCACAGGTGCTATCCGGACTTGGTTGGCTCTTCCAACAGCATATGTATATGAAAATTATGGCAGTGCCTACTAGAGGCCAATATCCTGACATCTAGCATTATATCTTAGACAGATTAGTATTTTAAATGACATATTCTAGAATCCTCTCTCCAGCTGGCAGATCAGTGGCCATAGTGACTGGGAAATTCTGGGAGTTGCAATCCTTCTTTTTTTAAAGATTGTCTAATTCCTCTCCAGATTCACATCTAATATGTGCTGCAGAAATAATGCAGTTTGACACCGCTTTAAGTGTCATGGCTCCATCCTATGGAATATTGGGATTTGTACTTCATTGTGACACCAAAGTTCTCTGAGTGAGAAAGCTAAATATCTCACAAAACTACAAATCCCAAAAATCCATATCATTGAGCCATAGCAGTTAAATCAGTGTCAAACTGCATTATTTCCACAGTGTAGATTAGACCTCAGAGGTGTAGGGTTGTAATTAGGTAGCTTTGTTATTGCTGTTCTCTACCTTTAAGTAGACTTCAACTTTTGGCAACTCGATTGTATGGTTTTCTTGGCAAGATTTGTTCTGAGGTGGTTTGCTATTGTCTTCCTCTTAGACAAAGAGAGTGTGATTTCCATGGCTGAGCAAGGTTTTGAACCCTGGTCTCCCAGAGTCCCAGTCCAGCACTCAAACCACTGCACCACGCTGGCTCTCTTAGGGAAATGGAAGGGCCTTTGCAGACTGCCCAAAATAATGCAGATTGAGGTCACTTTAACTGTCCTGGCTCAGTGCTAAGGAATCATGGGAACTGTAGTTTATTGTGGCACCAGAGCTCTCTGACAGAGAAGGCTCAATGTCCCAGAAAAAAATACAATTCCCATTAGTCCATAGCACTGAGCCAGGACAGTTAAAGTGACCTCAATCTGCATTATTTCGGGCAGTCTACAAAGGCCCTTAGATTGGAAAACTGTAGTCTTATGTTGTTGGAAATGAAACTCCTAGCTTTCCTCAACTGTGTTGGTTTGGGTTGCAGACTAATAACATCTGGAAGGTTCCACTTTGTCCCCACTGTTGCTTTAAATCAGATTTCCAAACTTTGATCCTCTAGGTGTTTTGGACTTCAATTCCCAGAAGCCCCAACCAGCCTGGCCAACAGTCAGAAATTCTGGGAGCTTAAGTCCAAAATATCAGGAGGACCAAAGTTTGGAATCTACTGCTTTAAACTTGGGACTTTCAATCGTTGGGCAAATTGTGGTCCTTCGGAGATTGCTGGCCTATACTTCCCACGGTCCTTCACCATTAGCTGTGATTGCCAAGGCCAACTGGTGTTTCAGTCCAACAATATCTGAAAGTCCACAACTGGCTTACCCCGAATGTGTGTTGTTTCATTTCCTTCAATGTGTGAGAAGCTGGATGCGAGAGCAATTCCCCTCATTTTGCAGTGTGGGATCTTCTGCTCCAAACCCTTGTTCTTCTTCGGTGTAAGCCTGGTGGTAAATAAGGCATCATTCTTTGAACATTTTAATTTTTTATGCCACTACCTTTGGTCTTGCTTACACCACAACTTCTGGCTGTGGGAGACCAGGACAGATCTGCTTTGCTTCAACTATCAGTATGCTTTACTTCACTATCAGTATGCCACGAACAAGAAAGAGAAGTTTTATACAGACCTACTCAGAAATAGAAGTTAATATGGCATACTCTTAGGTAAGCCTGTATAGGACTGAACCCTCAAAATCTTGCACACTACTCCATTCATGGGGCTGAGGTGGAACAGATAGAAGGACCAGGTAAGGACTTAGGGCCTTTGCAGACTGCCAGAAATAATGCAGCTTGAGGCCACTTTAACTGTCCTGGCTCAGTGCTAAGGAATCATGGGAACTGTAGTTTATTGTGGCACCAGAGCTCTCTGACAGAGAAGGCTCAATGTCCCAGAAAAAAATACAATTCCCATGATTCCTTAGCACTGAGCCAGGACAGTTAAAGTGACCTCAATCTGCATTATTTTTGGCAGTCTGCAAAGGCCCTAAGTATTAAACATCTGTAGCAACTTCATCTACCAGCAGAACTTAGAAAAATTATTTTTGGACTATGATGTCAGAATCTTCCAGCCAGTATAGCCATTAAGCATGATGGCTGAAGGATTCTGGGAAATGTAGTGCAGAAAAGTTATTTTAACAAGTGACTCTATCCTGAGAATAAATTGAAAGGTACTGCACACTGCTCCTGCTTGTAATTTGTCAGCACTTTGTAAATTTCATCTGTAACCAAAAGTCATTATTTCATTATTTCTCTCATTTTCTATTATGGTACATCTGATCATGCAAATCAAGTCAGGCTGTAAAATGGTGCATTTGTTTTTATTGAATGGTCACACAATTTAAGGGATTTTTTTTTTTTTTTGGTTAACATTGCTCAAGGATCATTGCTAGCATGGTAAGAAGATCAACAAGCTTTATAATCTCCCTGTAAATGAACCAAAGTGTAAAAGCTGATCTAGAAAACCAATCTCCACCTGAAACTGATTAAATTTTTAGTGTGAATGGGAACCTTCATGTTAAGAGAACAAGTATGTGAACATTGATGTGTAAATTTTGTTATTCATCTTGAAAGTGGAGCTGTATTCCTAATTTAATTTATTTGAAAATAAAGAATGCAAAGGATGTACTATGTACGCATTAATTGATGCCTCATAGGAACAGAAACAGTAAATGTTTTTGTATTGTTACTAAACTAGGGTTATTTGATAGAGGGTTTTTTTAGACCAACATGGGTGGCAGAAATTCAACAGATGCTACTTCTCCAGCATAGGAGCTGCACATGTAAGATTTCTGTCTGTGACACATTTGTTAAAGAAACTACAAAAATATATAAAGTATATATATATATATATATATATATATATATATATATATATATATATATATATATATATACTTTATATATTTTTGTAGTTTCTTTAACAAATGTGTCACAGACAGAAATCTTACATGTGCAGCTCCTATGCTGGAGAAGTAGCATCTGTTGAATTTCTGCCACCCATGTATGGGTTGAATTTCTGCCACCCATATATGAACCACTATCTCTCCATTTCCAGCTTTAATTGTTCACTGAAATGTAAACCACTCTCTTCTCCAAATGTACTGTGGCAACATCATCTTTTTCTATTATCATTCCCTTCTTGCAGACCATAACAATTGGTTTGCTTCCAGGATGTCAGTGGAATTTGCTTTTTGCAAGTACACTTAGAATCAGGATGTTATTAAACAGTCTGGCATGAAAGCTCCCTTGAAATGGATCGGTCCCATTTTCTGGGCTGCCACCTTTCTCCCTGTACCTAGTAGCTATGCTTTTGACAAAAACTAGATCTCCAGACATTTACTTCCATGCTGTGAAAAGCTTCCTTCCAAATCAAACATCTGTTGTTTTTTGGGGGGTAAAATAGCAAGATATTCTGTTTTTCTAATTAGTTGGAAACCCTATTGGAAATACAAAACCCTAGCACTTAAAGAGGGGTGGCTAGGCTGATCTTTTGAAAGAAACACAACAGTAAGTCTTGTGGCACCTTCAAGATTAGTACATTGTTTATGTCATAAATTCATAAGTGTAGTGTTAAATTCTGAAGTGTAATCCCTATCACAACATCCCCTATAACAACACCATGAAGGCAAGTCAATAAAAGAGGCAAGCATCTTGGCTGATAAAAATCAGCAAAGCCATTTTCACTACTACCAGAAGCAGATCTTTTGTAAAGCTAATGTGTCTTCATTGCTCATTCAAGATGAAGCCATCCCAACACTTTGGGTTATACCAGAGATTAGTTTATAATAATAGGCAGCTGCTGAGTGTTTCCCACTAACCACTGGGACTATAGTTAATGTCAGAAAGGGGGGGAGCAGATTGGAGAGGGAGGTAGCAGATCACAGCATCACTCCTGCTAGTAGCCCATTGCGTAAATTCCTGAGGGCTGGAGTCCAACAGATGGATAACCTACAAAAGGTGACACTTTCTTAGTGAAAGAAGGTTAGAGCAAGTGGTATAATGGTAAGAGAGGGGGAATGGGATGTAGATAAGATGGCTTAGATGAGAAAGAAAGGAGAGGAAGGAAGTGAAAGGAAGAAAGATTGGGATTAAGATAGTGTTAGAAAGATAGAAGGTATAGGAAGAAAAGTATAAAGCGGAAGGACATAGAGTGAAAGAGAATAATTGAAAGGCCATCAATGCTGACTACATTAGAAAGATTACAAAATAAAGATTACTTTAGATCAGGGGTAGGCAACCTAAGGCCCGGGGACCGGATGCGGCCCCCTGAGGCCTTTGAACCGGCCCCAGGCCAGTCGTGCCGCCGCCGCCCGCCATAATGATATTGATTATTGCTGTTATTACTTGTTCTGGGGGTTTTCTTGGCAAAATCTCCACAGGGGTTTTGCCATGGCTTTTCTGGGGCTGAGAGAGTGTACATGCATATTTTTTTATTTTTTTAAAAAAATAATTTTAATTAATTAATTAATTTTTGGTGCTTTGGCTCCCCAATTGTCTGAAGGACAGCAACCCGGCCCCCGGCTAAAAAAGGTTGCCTACCCCTGCTTTAGATGTAAGAATGTATGTTTGCAATATTGTATGTTTTAAAAATAAGGGGGGGGGAGAGAATTTGTTTACATTTATGTATATTTGAATTTTAATATGTTTAATAAAAATATTTTAAAAGGTGACACTTTCTTCTGCATGGAGATGGCTGATAAAAAAAAAAGCTCCTGACAGCTCAATTTCTCCAACTGGAGCTGCTGTTAAAAAGCACAAAAGGAGGGCTGTATTCCAAAATATAAAATACTCGGGGGGGGGGGGCAGGAAACACAAAACTCTGAGCTGACTTGTCTTATGTGTTCCATGCCCTTACAGTTAGCTTAGACTGCACTGGAAGTTGGAAAAGGTATTTTACTACAATACCCAGAATCCCCTAACTATGGAATTCTGGGAACTAGTCCAAGAAGGTGTTTTCTTAGACTATGCAGCAACAATGAAGAAATCTCATTGGTCTTGACAGACATACAATTCTTCCTAGAGTTTTTAAAAGGACATTTAAGGGGATGCTAGTTTTCATAGAATCATAGAATCATAGAGTTGAAAGAGACCACAAGGGCCATCCAGTCCAACCCCCTGCCATGCAGGAACTCCCAATCAAAGCATCCCTGATTTCATAATCTCCCAGCATGCTAGGGGATTCTGGGAGCTGTAGTCAGAAATGTAACTCCCTCCAGCTCTTCTCCTTTCTAATCCCTTCCCTCTTGAGCTGTTCTTAACATGCCAGATACAAACACTTTCATTTTTTAGTCCTTCCAAGAACATTCACTGAAGCTCAGTGTTTTTCAAATTTTGCAAATCTGGTCATGGGTCTTCCTCAGGATCAAAGTACATTCCCTTTGCAGGGGGGAGTTTTCCATACTGCAGTTTATAGTCTGTCATATGATCCAAAGCTTATGCTATTCACACCTTATTTACAGGAGAGATGTATTTGCAAGAATTACACACAGAGACAAATTAGCTAATACTCCACAGGACAGGATCAGAAGTCAAAATGACCTTAACAGATTAGAAAGCTAAACCAAAATTAACAAAGGGCCTTTGCAGACTGCCAGAAATAGTGCAAAATGAGTCCACTTTAACTGCCCTGACTCAGTGCTAGGGAATCATGGGAACTGTAGTTTATTGT